AAGTCAGGTCTGTACTGCATGCAGAGAAGGCAGTGTGGAAAAGGCTGGGTCTCCAGAGAACAGGACCCAGTGACCGATTTTGCAGGGTCCGGTGCATACAGAATGGGACCCTCTCCTTTTGGTCACAGCCCTGCTGGTCACTACCCCCGCTGGAAGACAGCAGATGACCATGCATGCAGACAGCATAAAATGGAAAGGGGTTTGATGTGGAAAGCACCTGTTTCCTAGGCAGCACAGAGCCGGGCACAATGGGCCTGCCACTCAGGACAGGGCCAGGACATAGGCTTTCGAGGCCACAGAGGCCCTGACTCACAGGGCAGCCCAGGCCCGCCATGGTCGGGCGGCATCCCCAGGCTGACAGGCTGTCCTGGGGACAGAGGGCCACGCAGCTGCCACCTGGCCAGAGGGAGCCGGGAGCACTGGACAGCTTGCTTCCTGTACAGTGTGGAAGGAGAAGAACGCAGGCTGTGCTCACTGGTGGGCTGCAGGCCCGGACCCCAGCCCAGAAGAGTCAAGCGGAGCTACACTCGATGCTGGCAGTGTGGACCCCACATGGCCAGTCCTCCCAAGAGTAGGCAGAACTCACAACGCTGCGGGCCAAGGGAACATGCAAGTCTGCGGTCCCCGCGCACCATCCCTCAGGGTCTGTCACCACTGGAAGCAGCAGCTCCTCAGGGTGGACATGCCCCAAACATGGCCTTTCTCTCCCTGTCCTGCAGACCAGGGCCACCAGAGGGAAACTGAACCCAAGAGAGCTCCAGAGGTGGCCAAGCACAAACCTGCTCTCAACGCAGTGGCAAAGCCCAGGACTGGCTCTCACCTTGGACCCCTGCACATAAGACCCCACAGCAGCACCTCCCCTCCCAAGCTCCTTAAAGAAACGGTCTCAACCATACTGCAGGACCCCAGGCTCTCTGCAGAAGCTACAGGTGAACTGTAGTCCCCAAAGTGCCACAGTCATATCAGTGTGACCCTGAAAACCACTTCAGCCCCAGGGACCGTGAAGCCAGGCAGGCGTCCACGTGACTACCTAGGCCTGCAACCTCAAAGGCCCTGAGCACAGATGGAGAAACTGAGACCCTCAGGGGACTGAGGCAAGAGACAGGCAATGAACGAGGCAAAGCGGGGCTCCACCTGGGATCCCAGTGAACCAGCCACAGTAGAACCAAGAAGCAGCTGACCTTGTCCACACGGTGGCCATTGCTCGGAGCCATGGCCCAGGGACTAGGCCACCCTTGTGCTGGAGGAAAACTTGTCAGTCAAAGATGTCTAGCACATCTGGGTCACTGCAGACAGAGCCCAGATGTGTCTGGAGCCACCATCTCCTCAAAGCTGCCCAGTGGATCAGAGGCCACTATGGGCATCGAGGCCCACATGGCCACCTGCTGTGACACTGTCCCTGCTCTCCAGCACAACCCTGCCAGCTCCAGCTGACGCTCTCCTGAGAAGCTGGCCCTGTTTTGCTCCTGCGTGACCAGCCCACGCGTGTTCGCGAGCCCTCTGTGCATGGCTCATCTCAGTCTGAAGGCTCTGACCCCAGTGAAAATAAAACTGAGAGCCGGGTGAACGGGGACAATACCCTGCATGAGGGGGTCACAGCTCCCACGAGGGCTCCACTCACCCCAGGACATTCTGAACCCGAGACCCAACTGCCCAGCTCCTGCCCAGTGAGTGGAGAGGGGCCGTGGAGAACTCAGCCGCCCGCCAGGCAGGGAGCCCAGGGCACAGGCAAGAGTATTAAAGAGCTCAGCTTTAAAGCACGCGCTTCCCCACCGAGCAGCCGCAGGGCAGCATTTTGGGTCCATCAGGTCAAATAAAATACGTTCTTACAACTGATGTCTCCTGTGTCTTTTAACTTTTCCACACTGGCGACCAGAAAGCCCCAGGCACACACGTAGCTGCCTTTGATTTCTGCTGCATGGCCTAGCACAGATATGCACAGCATAGGACGCAGGCAGGTTCCCCCGCGCCACTACCCCACGCCAACCTCCACCTCCCCATGGTCCCCTGGGGTGGGTGCTGGCCTCACACGACCCACAGGAGGAAACTGAGGCACAGCGAAGCAGAACTTGTGCAAGACGGTGAGAGCAGGAGACATAGGGCTGAGGCTCACACCATCTGGAGGGCATCCTGGGTGGAGACGCCCCTGGCTCTGGGGGTGACAGGCACCCACATTCACCTTCACCCCACCAACCCGGGGAGCCTGGGCTCCCCTTCACTAACATCCCCAGGCCCAACACATGGTGCCTAGCAACACCAGGTGACAACAGATGAATTAGTGATCGAATGAGTGACAGTGCTCACAGGCCCACTTCCACACAGGACAGCCTCCGGCCAGGCGCCCTCCCGGGGAGACACAGCCTCTCGGGACCATGCCTGGCATCAGGAAGGCTGTGGGCCTGGGGTCCAGGCAGCTGGGAGGGTCCAGTGGACGCGCTAGGTGACTGTCGCTGCAGGTCATTTCACCGGCTTCTGCCTGGAACACTCAGAGCCTCGTTCCCTCCCGGGCAGAGCGCAGGTAAGTAGCGGCAGGGCTGTTTATGTAACAGCTAAATATCTGGTCCGCAGGGACCGGATGCTAGGAAACCTTGCTCTTCAGTGAAAGGAAAAGGAGAAAAGCATGAAAAATTTATTGAACTTGAGCCGCTGGGACCAAGCCGCAAGTTAAAGATCCAAATTCATTTCCCTTCCCCATAAGTGATGATTTTTGTCTGTGGCAACTACAGGCGTCAGGACTGCCTGGACTGTTTTCCTCGTTCTTCTATTTTCCTTCCTGGGGAGACGGTGCTGGGGACTGAACCCGAGGATTCTTGCTATCACGGAGCTACATCCCCAGCACTCCCTCCTCTGTAGTTTTTTATTTAAAACAGGTGTCGCCACTGCCACTGAGTTGTTAAGTTGCCCAGGCTGGGTTTGAACTTAAAAATCCTCCTGCTTCAGCCTCCGGGAGAACTAGAATTACCGTCAAGTGCCACACGCCCAGCTGCGGCTAACTCTTAACAGCACAAAGTAACACTGCCAGGTGAAGTCAGTGCTTCCTGTGTGGAGGTCCCGTCTTGTTTTACAGCAGGAGAACTGTCACCCCCAGGCAGAGCAGAGAAAGGGGAGACAGGGAGCAGGGCTGGGGCCTGACCCCAACCCCATGCATAGGATCTGATGGGTCCCTCCACCCTGATGGGGACCCAGCCACCCTGGTGATGGTCTGGGAGTGTGCCACGTTGGCACTGGGAGGCCCCACTGAGATGGTATCTCCACAGCCCCCAGCCCCACCCACAGCACCCCATCCTGTGGCCCTCAGGCCATGCCACTGACTCAGCTCGGACGCTGAGCAGAAGCTACACAGTTCAGAGCTCCGGGCTCCGGAGGCACCACTCTGCGAGCTGCAGAGAACTGAGCTCAAATGGTAGCTCTGCCACTTACTAGCTGTGTGACCCGGGCCAAAGCATCCCCATCCCTGGCTATTTAACTGTGAAGGAAGGACAGGTGACCGCAGGGACAGGCATCCAGGAGAGATGAATTACCAGCAGCGACAGCATGGCTCCCCTAGCTGTGGCCCTGCTGCAGTGTTTGGGACCTCATCAAGGTGATCCCAACACGGCCAGGGGCTGACATGGGTGCACAGCTTGATGGGTTGCTGGTAGTGGTGGCTGGGGTGGGGCGCATGAGGCTTCCCAGGCCTGGCCATCTAAATGTGGTGGAGGAGAGGGATAGAAAGGGAGGAAAGGGGTCCTGACCCTGAGCTCCACCAGCAATGCGGATGCAGAAGGCAGGGGTGCAGCCTCCAGGACCACCCTGCTCTAAGCCACTAGCCTGGGTCACCATCCCTCCCACTTCCTCCCCAGGCCCCCGCCTTCTCTGAGCCTGCATCCCAGGTGCCCCTGTGTGTTGGGGTGCACCCTTTCTAGAACCACCTAGGGTACTCCCGGTGTGCGAGCTTGGCTGTGGTCACAGTGGCACCTGGGCAGGGACTCTTAGATGCCAGCTTTGAGGGCTTGTTCCCCGGCGGACATGCTGTCTCATCACAGATGCCCCAGGGCTCCAGGTACCGATACCTCCACAGTGCACCCCAGGCCTAGGAACCCAGCTCCCGAGGACCAGCTGGGCTGAGGAATCCCAAACAGAGGCCTGGGCTGGGCCACAGCTGCAGGCGTACACTGAACCATGCAGGGCTTAGTGCTTCTGGTCCTGCATTCATGGTTTGCCTGGCCACATCCAGAGACCCCAAGTCCCTGCCAGGGCCTCAAACCCTATGTGTGCTCAGGAAACCCAGGCCATTCACAGCGTGCAGCTTCTCACACCACGTTGTCAGGGATAAAGGGAAGGAAGCAGTGAGGTGCTGCCAGCGGGCATGCGCCATCTTGCTCGGAACAAAGAAACTCGCCAGGAGGAGCCGGCGTGGCACTGGGCACGGAGCCAAGACCACCAGGGCCACCTGCACCTCTCAGCTTTGGTCGCTGCTCTGCAGAACAGGGTGCCGCCTCCCCCAGTCCACTGTCCCTGCTCAGGCAAGCAGCCACATCTCTTCCCTGGCAGAGGCCATGTGACACCACTCGGGTCACAGCCAGCCTCACGGAACCAGGCCAGGGGTTCTGTCCACCCCTGTAGGGAAATGGCCAGGCGAGGGCTGGGGGTAGTACAGCAAGGAAATCCTCCCAGGGAGCAGACAGAAGACCAGGTGGGCCACCACACCGCACCCTCACCCCCACCACAACCCCGATCCTCAGGGCCAAGCCCAGGAGGAGCTGTGGCTCTGTCAGCACCTGGGCAACTTCCACAAGCCAGTGGCACTGAGACTGGGGCTCTGGCTCCCCAAGGCCACTCCGGACCGGGGCCAAGACCCCACAGGAGATACCCCAAGTCCCAATGACCAGCCCAGCCTTGAATGGGGTGCTGTGTTTTCCCTGACGCGGGGACACCGGGTGCTTCCCCGCCATCTCCCCACTGCCATCCTCCCTGCCGTCCTCCCCACCGTCCTCCCCACCATCCTCCCCGTGCCTTACTCAGCCAGCTCCTCCAGGCTGCGGTACACATCGTCGTCATTCTCTGCCGTCTCCTCGGAGGGAAAAGGCCTGGGGAGAGAAGGGGACAATGAGGACACAGGTGTCCACAGGGGCTGGAGGGGCCTATCTGCCTCTACACTGGGCATCAGCTAGTTCCTCACGTCTGGTGGGGGCAACCGGGGTGCACACATACACCTGGCACCTTGTGAGCTCAGGCTGAACCCTCAAGAGGCCACTTCCTGGCTGAGCGGCCTTGGTGAGTCCCTAACCCTCTCTGAACTGGCTGGCCACATAGCCAGGCCATGCCAGCGAAGCTTGGCACAGCGTAGGGCCCATGAGGGTGCAGCGCAGCACTCATCTTGTCCCTATGGACTCAGAAGACAGATGGGTCCCAGAAACATCCAAAGAGACAAGGGGTCCAGGACTGGGAGGGCAGAAGCATTGTCCCTGGGTCACCACACGGCCGCTCCTCCGGGCACCACCCTTCTGGGGGGGTCCTGAAAGTGGGATGTGGACAGCTTGAGATGAAGGTGGCAATGCCAGTCACCCAGGAGGGGAGGACACAGGCAGGGAGGCTGGGGGCGCCCAGCACCATGATGCCTGCCAACACCACAGATCTACCTCCCTCTGTATATCTGGAGTAAGGTCCACACTCACTTTCTGTATGGGAACACACACTTGGGAAGGGTGCACATGTCAGCAAGGGACCTGCACGGAGAGGGAAGTGGCAGCCAGGACAGCACTACAGCCAGATGTCCCTCCTTCCCCTCCTGGGAAGGAATGTGCTTCCTAAACCCCAGGATCCTGAGCCCCCTCTTCCCACTTCTGGGGGACAGGGTGGCCTGGGTGAGCTATTTTAGAGTCGTATCTTTGTGGGACCCTCCTATGCATACGAAATGGATTGCTTCACACTTGGTAACCTGCCTTATGTCAACACAAGCCCAGCCACACAACCTAAGGGCAGAGGAGAGCAAGGGTTCCACCCACAGGTTCCGCCAGTAGCCTCCGCAGACAGTGGGGAGCCCAGCTTGGCTTCCTATCTCACTCAGGTCACACCACTCCAGGAGCCAAAGGCCAGGAGGGGTCACAGATCAAAGGCTTCACTCAAAAGCAGTAAGGACATGAAAGTCCTTTTTAATTAACTGAGCACCCAGCAGCCTCAGGCCACAAGTTCCTAGGAAACCTGCTCCTCAGGATCTGGGATCCAGGAAGTGAGCTGGAGCTTCCTCCTCCCAGGCCCACCTGCCCACCCTAGGTCTGGCTGACGTTTGCGCACACAGTGATTCAGCAGAGATTGCAGCCAGGTGCCAACAGCCTCCCAGGGAGGCTAAACAGAAAGGCCTGGTCCCACAGGGGTCTACGGCAGACCTGTGAGACCCTGGGCCTAGGTCTAGGGTTGCCACTGGCCCGTGTCCTCCACCTCGTGGCTCTGTGATGGCAGCCTGGACCCAAAGCAGCAGCATGGTCCTGCCCAGCAGGCTCCATCCCCTCTACCCCCCTTCCCCCCGCTTCTCCTGTCACCAGGACTGTGGCACCCAATAGAGGTGGTCTCAGGTCACTATGATGCCCTGGCCACCTGCATCAGCCTCTTGCTCACTCAGCTGCATTCTCAGCCAGGAAATCCCAGAGGCACTCATATCACCCGGCTACAGAGCAGAGCTCAAACTGACACAAATTTCCCCATGGGATGATAGGGTACAGCACTGTTACGGTTTATTTCTAGATGGCCTCCCAAGCCTCATGCAATCATGGAGGCAGCTAAGTCTAACATTTGTGATTGGTTTGTTGTCTAGCGCTGGGATTGGTGGTGTGAGTATTGCACCAACCCAGGGGCGGAGCTGGCATGCAATATAAGGGAAGGAAGGAGGCATGTTTTTCTCTCTTTTGCCCTTTTTCTCTTATCGCTTATAGCTGCCTTGAATGGCTGCCACTCAGCCACAGCACCCTGCCTCAGAAGGACCAAAACCTCCAAAAAACTGTAAGCTAAATAAACCTTGCCATCCATAATACCTGGGCATCAGGTATTTCATCTCAACAACACAGAACAAGTAACCTAGACAAGCACCGAGGAGCAGGGTCCTGTTCCTTCCGTTGCTTCTAATCGCTAAAGGGACCAAAACCCAAGCAAGTGACCACAGAGAGCACTGGAAAGCTGGGCCTGACCCTGCCAGGGCAGCTCCCCACGGTTCCTGTCCCACACCTGCCACTTCACTCAGGTTCAGCATCATCCTCAGCCCCCAGGCCAGGCAGGCCTACACGGTCCAAACTGCTTTGTTTCTATTTAAATGTACTTTTAGGCCAGGTATGCTGGCACACAACTGTAATCCCAGCACTCGAAAGGTTGAGGCAGGAGGATAGATGAGAGTTTGAGGCCAGGCTGGACTACAGAGTTCAAGGCCAGCTTGAACTGCATAGCAAGACCCTGTCTCAACATAGCAAAATCAACTCCCAGTGCCCAGTGAGGGCCTGCCAGCCTGTTCCCCATGAGCATTTCAGTACCTTGTGTCCTAGTGCACACAGAGTTGGTGCTCACAAAAGTAGGACATAATAGTACTTTTGAGCTTTTTCTTTTGAATGATTGTATAGCTTTGTCTTACTTCCTTTAACTATGTCTCTTTCAGCGCCTTGCTTTGGTCCCTGTGTCATCTTCACCTGCCCACCCCAGGGGACTTCAAGTTAGAAGCTGAAGTCCGAGGAATTGCACTGCCACCCATAAAATCTTATTCTGCCACCATTATTTGGGGCCTCAGAGCCCCTAGACAATGGAGCTGCAAATCCAATTACCTTCTGCCATAGCCAAACAAAGACAGACCACACAGCCAGGGTGGGGAGAGCAGGCAGGGAGCTAGCCTGAAGGGGTGGGGGCCTCTAAGATGGGGTAGGCAGGCTGCCCCAGCCCCTGCCCCCTTCGCACCGCACCCTCCCTCAGCCTCCCACAGCCACTCCATCTCCAGCCTTGCCAGTGCTTTGTGCTTGGCTCAGTCCCCTGCCCTGCTCCACACCTAAGTCCTAATGTCCTAATGTCCTCCAGCGTACAAGCAAACCCCACTTCACAAAGGAAGACCTGATTGCTCTCAAACCAGCTCCATCCCTACCTATCAGGGTAGAATGGGAAAGATGGGTGTGTGGGTGGATGGATGGATGGATGGATGGATAGATGGGTGGATGGATGGGTGGATGAACAGGTGGGTAGATGGATGGATGGATGGATGGATGGATGGATGGATGGATGGATGGATGTGTAAATGGATGGGTGAATGAGTAGATGGATGAGTCAGTGGCTGGGTAGATAAATGAGTGGAAGAGTAGATGAATGGGTGGGTGGGTAGGCAAATGGGTAGATGGATACATTGGTGGGTGGAGGGATGGACAGATGGATGAGTGGGTGGGTAGATGTATGGATGGGTGGGTGGGTGAATGGATGAGTGAACAGATGGATAGATGGATGGATAGATGGATGGATGGATGGATGGATGGAAGGATATTCAAGGAGACAGGCAGCTTTAACAATGGTTAGATTTCTGAGTGGCTGGAAATAGAAGCATGGATGGGTAGACAGACAAATAGATGGATGTGAGACATTCCCTCCTGCTCTACCCTCACCTAAAATTACAGCAAAGTGCAGCCTTGAACTGGAGAAGTCTTCAAAGTGAGTGTATGAGGAATCACATGGGAGGATCCAGTCTAGTTCCTCACCTCACTGAACACGTGGGACACATCTGTGCAGACAGCCTCTGAGCAGAACCCTGGGGCCAGGTCCTAGCTCCAGCTCACAGTCCAGGAGGGGCCGCAGCAAGCAGTGACTGTGGTCACTTGGCCACGAGACCAGCTCCCTGCCCTCCGTCTCCAGACACCAGCTGACCCTGAGGTCACATGTTGCCCCAGTGTCCCCTTCCTGCATCACAGGACACCAGGCGTCGGTCTGTGGCATTAACCCGCTCACTAAGAGACGAAGGTCACACTGGGTCCACAGGCAGCTTGCTCCCCAGGACAGCAGGTCTCACCTTCCTGAGCACTCATTTCCTGTGCCAGGCAGCCAGGAAGCCACTCCCCCCCCCCAGCACCAGCCAGGGTGAAGCGGGTACTTGTGCAGGAAGCCAACAAGCCTGGTGCTAAGAAATCCCCAGCATCACAGGCCCATCCACTCCCACCCCAAGACTCCTCCGTGCCCTGTCCTCCTTTGAGTCCCCTCTCTAAATAAGCCCTACTCCACAAAGACAACTTTAGCACCCAGCTTCAGGGCCAGGACAATGGGTCTCAGTACCAAGACCAGAGGAGGAACCCAGGACTGGAACTGAGGAAAAAGATGGCAGGACAGGAGTTACTGAAGGGTGCTTGAGCCGCGCCCCAAAGGAGGAACGGAGGAAGTGTGATCAACTTTGTCCTCCTCCCCCGCCTCTGTCCTCGGGTGTAAATGGGACATTTGCTCGAGCTAGTCACCAGGCTGCAGGCTGCAGGCTCAATGCATGCTGGGCTCTGGAATCCATGCAAGACTTTGTGGTCCCCATGCTCAGGACTTTAGGGACAATTTGCCTGAGCTGTGGCCCTACCAGTTCCCGCATACAGGTGCGTCCACAGCTGCATGTAGAAGACACCAGGGTCTGGAAGGAGCAGCGACCCAGATGCGGCAGGGCTCCTGGCAGACCCTGGGCCAACCTTGACCTCAGCAGAATGCAGGACGCTGGCAGATTTGGTCTCTAAGTCAAACCTGGTGTCATCAAAGAAGACACACACACACAGCTCCTTCCTCCAGGCAGTTACGGGCCAGCTCCAGGGAAGTCTCAGCACTGACCCTCCCAGGCCCTGGTGACAGCTGCAGGACCATGCATGGGGCATGACAGGAAACACACTCTACACATGACATCGAGGATGGGACACTGTGGTGACCTGAGCACCTGATGCTTCTCCGCCCACCCGTGAGCAGCACTGAACTAGGACTCACCAACCCACTGACCCCATCTGGCAGCAGCTCTCTCTGTATTACTGAACCTACTGGTGCCCCTTGTGCAGGGCTTGTGTCCCTGGGGCACATGGAGCACCCTCTCACCTTTGAAAAAGCAAATCCCAAC